TTGTCAAGGAAACAGTTGTAGTTTTATTGTATGAATTCATGATCAGCTTTGGATTTTCTTCAAGAGCCAAAGTATGTTAGATAATTAACAAGGAGGTGCCATTTCCTTAAACCAGGGAAAGGGGTTAAGCAGGAGGCTAAGTGGTGGTAGGTAGTTCTGGAATTTGGCTGTGGATACCTATAAAACAACCAAAAAAACAACAAGAGGATTCTTCTAGATGAACTGGAAATTCAGATGATTTCTGGTTCAGCCACCAAGGGCAACATCTACAAGCAATATTTGGGGCTTGCCACAAAAGGGCCTTGTTAGAGCAGAGATCTGCAGAATAATCATCATTCCTGTGGGTTCATATACTAAGGAAGTTTGACATCCCTGGCATTGTTCTGGAATAGCTCTTCCACTTTGTTCACATTGTGTCGTATTCTGGAATAATTTCTACAGGCAGTCAGAAATCACAGGGGTTCTTGCTGCTGGGTTCACTGTACTGGGGTCACACTGGGCATATCCCTACTCTAACCTTCTGCTCTCTCAGAAACATTTTTGAGGGAACTAGAAACAAAACAGGTATCATACTTCTTTATATTTTGTATAAGACTTCCTTTATTATAAATCAAGCTGCATGAAAAGATCTATACAAATTCAACAGTGTCCTGTTATAGAAGCAGCAGTTTCAGTACAGCATTGTCAATCAAGGAAGACCTTATTTATTGCCCATCTTGGCTTCATGGCCAAGGTTGATATTCATACTACAGTTTTGCTTCTGAGCTAACATGTTACACACAAACCCCCAGTCCTAGAAAAAAACCACAAAAAGACAAGTAATAAATAAAGCTATTTATGTAGGATCCTATGAGAACTAACCACTCAATGGCCAGCAGATGAGCTGTTAAAGGTCAGTAGGGTCTCCTTTCTTCACGACAGAGAAAATATTTCAAAGCCTTTGCATTAAAAACTGGTGAACAAGGACCAAATCCTGCTGCTTGAATACTGGATGAAGTTTTGAATCCCTTTGCTGAAATACATCTTTATACCCCCAGAAGACCTGTATACAGAGCAACCTAGAGAGAGAGAAGCCATACTCTGTGGTTGCCACATACTAAAGAGTGAACTCCCCTTAGAAGACACAGCTCCTGAACAGTGATTAATAACCTTAGACCAAGACACTTTCTAAAGGCTGATGGCTCCTGAGGTGGTGGTGTACATCAGTGGCTGCTATCAAGACACCACTGATTCCATTGTTTTGATACAGCCTGTAATAAAATATTAAAACCACAAGTTGAGGATGGAGGGAGTAGCTGGAAACAAGCAGGAGGCAATAGTTAATCTATTAAATTCACCTGGTTAGTGAACAGCAAGACCAGTACTGAAATGCAAGAAAGGGGTTGGGACAGACAGCTTACCCTTCCTTAGGATCTCTCATGTAGATCCAGGCATTACCAAAGAGATGTTCTGTGCTTATGTCATGCACTGTTTTCTTTTAAAAGAACTTTATTCACTTTAAACCACAAAACCCCACCCTCACCCTTTAAGTTACTTCCTAAGAATGCCTAGCCAGGCTTCAATCAAGGCAGAACTAAACATGGGCACCACTAAAATGTCTTGAGACATTTTTACTGGCTGGCAGATGATGGAACTGAACTATCATCTAAATCTTTTTTATTAAATATGAGTGGCCTTTCACTAACAGGACTAGTACTTGGTGGGCAAAGATGTAATGGAGGAGAGAAAAGGTGGTCCAAGGAATGTTGTATTTCACATCATGGCCTCTTTGTACTAGTACAGAGGTCTGATTCAGAGAAATACTGTGTATCTACATCTCCTCTGGTGGGACAAGTATATACCTCTGGTATGTTTATTGGTACATGGCTTACAAAGATCTCTGCCCTGAGGCTTAGTCATCACAGAACACTTCTGCTCCTAGATAGGTGTGAGGGGGTTCCCTCATAGCCTAAATGCACAGAACATATCTCTTAAAAGGTGCGCAGGGCAAAAGGAGCACGTTGCATGTAGGAAAATTAAGCCAAGCAATTTCCTTTCAGGGGAATCAAATCCATAAATTTCTTGGTTCAGCTCCCGCTTGGGTTCAACAAAACCCCATGGGAACGCTTCATGGTCAGTTTGGGCTTAAGAGAGAACAGGCACACAAATGCAGAAAGCAAAAAACCCTAAAAGGTTCAATCCACTTAACAGTTTAGGTTTCCTTTCAGTCTGAGCAGCAGCGCTCGGAGCTCTGTAAAGATGAGTTTAGACATGCTTACAAGCTTGTAGGACTGGCATTACGGGCATTTTGACATTTTAACAGGGGAGTTACCTTACTCTGTTCAACAGCCTTTTCGTCTCATCCTCCCCCTGCTCAACCTTATATAAGTTATTTTTCAACCCTGAATGTTATTTCCTTAGAGACTTGGGTCACAAATTTGTTTCTGTTCTTTGGACAGGCTAAATTTAGACTCCTGACAGGAAACGTCAGAGAAGTTTTTATTTCTCTCTGGCTGGGCTAGGAATACATTTAGAAGCAACTCTGACCACAATTGCTTCAGCATGACCTGCCTGCCCATGCAAAACTGGATCTGCTACAGGCACTGCGCAGTAAATCTGGGCAGGTAAAAATGGCAAATTGCTTGGGTTTGCAAACAACTGACAACTTCCAATGTAGCCTCCAGGCTCCAGTACACACTCATCCTCCCTGTACCTCTGCTTGTCGCTACCTGCTTGCAGTGTCCCCTGAGATTGCTCCTCTTTCCTATTGTGGAAGGCTTGCTTGGCTTTGCTAATGAAAGCCAGGGGGTTACAGCACTCATTAGCGTTTGCAATTAGTCCTGCCCTGTTGCTCTGCCAGTCCTGGCAGTCTCCCAGGCACTCATCACCAAGGGTGTGAAGCAAGCACTTATGATCCAAGACTTTTTCCTACTGGCATTACCCACCTTTTCTCTGTCATTTGGCTTCCTAGCCCTTACATTCTTCTCAGAAATATTACTTAACCACCCCGTAGCTGTAATGATAAAAGCCAAGGTGAGCAGCAACTTGAGCAAAGAGTTCCCTGTCCCCATGTGTGCTTTCTTATAAACCAGATGTGGAAATGGGAGTCACAGCTTTCTCTGCTTTTGTGCATGCGAAGTCCCTCAGTGGTGGAGGGACAGACAAGAGCAGATACCAAGGCAGTGGTAAAGTGTTTTTTACCATTGCTTATCAACAGGCTGGATAATAAGCCTCATGTGTATGTTGTCCCTAGTAGAGATACAGGATTAAATCTTCTCTCTGATTTATGTAATGGAGAAGATTGATAAAAAGGGACCTGTGTAGTCATGGTAATATCCCTGATGAGTCTCACCACCCAGAACAATGGCCCTCTTGTAAACAGGACTCAGAGAAGCCCTAATATAAAACATTGTAGGAAATCCTAGTGTAAGAAAATGGTAGGAGAGGCCCCTTAGCACTGGAGGCCAGGCCTCTGGGACCAGCACAAAGCAGATCTGCACTAAGGCCCTGACTTGGATTCTGCATGAAGCAAATGAAGGAGGGTAAGGAGCTACGAGCCTTTTCCTCCAACAAAACCACCTTGCCAGGGCTGGGCAGCACACTGGCATGGCACTAACATGCTGCTTCCTGAGGGAGTTCAGGCACCTCCATTTATGCACTGTATTTTTTTAGCACATTCCTTGAGATTCTTCCCTGGCTTGAAGTCCTGCAGAGGCTGTCTTTTACCATCAGACTCCCAGCTCAGCAAATTATGGTCCACTTGCAGCAGCTCCTTGGTACCTCATCAGAGCAGCAGTCTACAGAATGATTGAGAAGGCCCTATATGGAGGCAAACAGGTAGCTTTTGCTGGGGCATCTGGGAGCAGAAGTGACATGACAAAGACCACAAGGCAGCTTCAGAGAGAGCGCTGCCAAGCTCTGCTGCACATGTATCTCTTTCATCCTCTCCTCCGTAGCTGTTGTGCTGGCCTTGGCCTCATAAAAACCATGCTGTGAAAGTCACACTCTCATTTGGAGGGATTGTTCCCTCCTGCTACCAGACTGCTGAGATTGACTTCATTACAGGATAATTTTGGAGAACTACTTCTTTATAGAAGCAAAACCTGGAGCAGTCCGTTCTCTCTTGGTTGTTCTCAGCCCTGCTGCCCCAATGTAAGGAAACAAATAAACAAAAATGCCATAACCTAATAAATTGTTTTTCTTTTATCTAAGGTTAAAAAGGTTCCTGTCCATTTATCCATGGACAGTGGCCATGAATATAACCCACTAGCCACATTACCATGAAGAAAATGGAAGTCCTGAATGAAATGGTCTGAAGACACAGACCGTCATGTCTGCTCTGCTACCTCCTCCCCAGGGAAAAGAAATGTGCAGGGTGCAGGGGTGTCTTTGAAAGACTATTTAACCTACTTAACTATTTCATCTACTGCTGCAAGTCTTAGCACAAAGGCTTTTTAAAAATAACTACAGTTACCTTTAAAAGAGCTGTGGTTGTTTTAAGGATCTCCATCCAGTTCAGACCTTGTGCATGACCCTCCTCCCCTCATCATCACCAAATCTTACATCGTACTTCCCATCAGTTGCGGAGCTCCTGCTGTCTGCAAGCAGATGGGCTCCTGCAATCCCAAGATCCTGTGTCTGACTCCTCCACCCTTTTCTTATCTCCCCCTTCCAAAGGAAATGAAATATTTGGCCACCACCACCATTTGCATTGCAGGCATCTGAATAAATTAGTCGTATTTGTTGCTCACCACCACTGTAGCGTGACTGAGGCATAACAGAAAAATATATTCTTAGCTGCAGAAAATGAGCCAGCACACTGGTGGGGCAGAACTTTAATACCACATCTTCCAGTTTCTCCCTATCCTTGCCCTAGCCCTTACTGCAGAAACCATGGCCCAGGACCAGTTCAGCTACAGACAAGAAGCTGTACTGGCTAAGTCAGTAGATTCCAGGACACTTCAGAAAGCTGCCCTCTGGACTTGTGCTTAGAGAAACAAGTCTCTTCCTGCTGGCTTTGGTTAAAGGGATTCCTTATGGATCCCATTGGTGTGTGCAAGGGGAATGTGCACTGTGTACTCATTTATCAGTGCAGACATGTTCCTGAGCATCTCGTGGAATGTGTCCACCGTCTTCCTGTAAACGTCCCTCCGTAGCACAAAGGGACGGAAAAGGTTGAGAGGCTCAGCCCTCTGGAATATGATGGGGAAGCCCAGCTCTGCTGGTACCCTCCCATTGCCAATGAAGAAATGGTAGAGCTTCTTCTCATGCAAACATTTCTCCAGGAGTTTCAGCATGTCCTGTAAACGGGTCTCCAGCTTCTCTGGAGCCCAGTCCTGACTGGCACGTGCCTGCAGGAGATGCATCATCACTGTCTTCAGGTGGTAGTTGGTGAGCCCGCTTGGACCCGTGAGGCTGCACTGCTTCCCATGGAGAAAGGAGAGGATCTGAAGGCAGCTAACATGGCATGCATTAGCAGGCAGCATTTTGGAGACCAGCTGGATGAACCTTCTCTCATACACTGCGAAGGTGAGAAACCAGTGAGTGCTGGAGGGGACATCTCCTGCCAGGCTGCTCCGAGGGAAATGAGAGATGAAGTAAACATCAGAGTTCTCGTACTGCACCACAGGGGTGAGGTTGAAGGCAATTGATTTCCCTGACCTAAATTTAATCTTCAGGGCTCCTGGTGAGTCCAGGAGGCTGAAGGAAAGGTCAAACTCATACTTGTGGGAGATTCTGTTCCAGGCCTTGGTAACTGCAATCTGGAACCACTTCATAACTTGGTCAGCATCCAGATATTGAGTACTTTTGAAGCACAGGAGGTCTTCCATCTCACTGCTGGGCCTGGTAGTATTGGCTTGGCTATGGAGGAGGCACAGCATATCTTCCCCTAATTTAGTCTTGTCACAGATGCAACCTGTCACATCCTCATCTGCTCTGCATACCTTGATAGTTCCATAACCTTGTTCATCTGGGGGAAAAGAGTCACCAGAGCACCAGGTCTGGGACCGGAAACAGTATGGCTCTGGGGGGGCAAAGGGCACGATCAGATCACAGACAAAAGGTTTACGCACTCTCCAATTCTCATACATGCTCCCCACACCCATGCAGTCCTCCACTTCCATGTCAGCATCCCGGTTACAAACACTCCTCAAGGCCTCCAGCAGGTCATCCGCAAAGCCTTCCACCATCTCCCGCATCCTGGCCATGTCTCCAGTGGTACCCAGGATGCGCTTCTCATAGAAGCTGGCCAAGACAGCCTTGTCAGGGAAGACCACTCCTTTAAATGCTTTCCCCAGCACAGCCATGTCATCCTCTTCCCCTCCTGTGTCCTGCCAATTCCCTTCCTGGAAATCCTGCCTCCAGAGCTCAATCAGCAGAAAGATGACCATGGAAAGGGCAGTCCACATATCCCATCGGACCTTTTCCTCTTTGCTTTCCTCCACTACCTCTGCAGCCTTTTCCAGAGCCTTCTGTGCAGCTTCCTGGTCTGTGATTTCCTGTTCCAAGCGCAACCGCTCCAGCCGAAGGCTCTCCTCCCGCTCCTTCATCTTCTGGATGATTTCTTCCGTGCTCTCGGGGACAGTGACATTCTCTTCAGGGAAGAGGAGCGGTTGGTTGACAATAGCTGTAATCACCACTAGGCACACTCGGAAGATTCCCATGGGCATGGCAGTTCCTTCCCTGGAAAAGAAAGAAAGGCAGAATGACCCACACTTTGGAGTACATTCCCTCAAGAAGAAAAATGAAAGGAACTCCCCACTTGAATAAAAGCTTTGGAATCCTTTCTAGCCCTGAAAAAACTGCTTGAGTATAAAAGCTCCTGAGACTTGCCTGTTTCTGCAAGTTATCAACCAAGCTTCCCAAAAAGACTTTATTAGCAGATAGTAAGGATGAAAGTGGCCTCTCATCAAATTAACTTAGAAGAACAGAACTGTGAAGGTACTTGGTACTGCCAAGCCACTGTGGTGCTGTTGGGGCAGTGTGGGAGGACATGTTTTTCCTCCCTCCTTTAAATTTCTCATGACAGAAAGGGAAAGAAGCAGGCAGGACCTCTTCAGATGTAAGGCAGCAGGGCTAGAGATGATCACTGCTTTCCCTCACAGATGTGGCAATATAGACAGGGCTGTCCTGGCCACCTTCCATATTAAGTCTGTCTGGGGACCCACACTACCTGCTTGGATTAGAACAATCTTCACTGCCAGTGTTGGTTATGTGCACTTGGGTGGGAACAAGCCTGCATGGTTTTATGCTTCTAAACAGACATTAGAGGCTGAAAGATTAGAAACATTGCTGAACTGGAAAGTGTTTCCTTTAACCCAGTGGTTTCAGAAGCATCAGGTTATTTTTGGTGCTTACTTCACTATTAATCTGTGGGAGACACTAGTAAACACCATGGCTTTGATCTAAGCCATCTTCCCCAAGCACCCCTTTAACAGTTGTGCTTGCAGCCAGCTCACCCCTATTTGAAGTGACCTCAGCGTGGCTGTGAGGACACACCCTGGGTCTTGGTGTCACTGTGCTTGCTGCAGACAGCCCTGTGCCAGCAGCAGTCCCACATGTCACCCACTGCACAGACTCTTGGCATGACCAAGACTGTTACGGTGTTTTGGAATTGCTTTGTGTGGTTATTGGCTCTACTGCTCAGACCTCAAACTCAATAAATCTTTCCGTGCCATGGGCTCTTGATAAAGCATACAATTCCCAGCTTTCTGGGATATGGTCTCATTGTTGGGGCACCTGTCTGGCCCTGCCAAGGCCTCCCAAAGGTCTGGGCCAGAGGGTGCTCAGGGTAAAGCCTGGACTGTTTCCTCTGGGGTGGCAGGATGATCTCAGGTTGTCACCAACTGCTGAGACGTGGCAAGCTCACCAGTCCCTCTTTCTAGCAACATTACTCTTCAGTTCTAGCAGAGAGATCAGAAGGACAAGACAGACGAGCAGGGGTATTTCTTCCAGCTAGGACATTTAAACACAGCTCCTTTACTGCCTCAAAAGTATGTTTGAGAGAAAAGGCTTTTTGTTACAGAAATGAAGTCTATCAATAAAATACCTAATGAATCCAACCAGAAAGGGTAATCTCATTCCTAACAAACCAATTCATCCTGCTGTGGGAATGAGAGCCAAGCAATGGTAAGGCACTGTGACTTCACCAGGAGCCAAGGGCTGCAATTTTCTCCCCCTGCAATAGCTCCTTCCTGGCCTGTTTTGGTACCACAGCAACCCTGCTGTACCAGTGTCTGGGCAAGAAGGCAAACATCTCTGGCAATCTCATTTATGCCTCCACAGACCATGCAATAAAGACAGAACCATCCTAGTGGGCCTTGTTATCATTACTACACAACAAACAGTTGGCTTTCAATTGCAGGACCCTAGATTTCCACAATGTGAGCACTTACTGTACATGGGAACTGTATCCTTCTGTATGCAGTTATCTCTACTTACAAGAGGGCTGGGACTGGAATAACAAGGGAATTGAGATACATTGTCCAAGCAGAAAGAAAGTTCACACGGTGCTCAGGGTAACACTAAGTGCCCCTCCCTGTGTAACATGTACCAACTATCCTTTTTTTAGATCCCATGTCATGCATAAATGCATGCCCTTACACAGACACTGCTCTGCAGATGGTTTGCTGGCCTTTCTTGTCCTTTTAACATTTACATTAACTGTTTAATTCATCAGGCAATTAATTAAAGCTGAATTAATGCCCAAAGCTGGATGTTCCAGTTATTCTGTGAGCTCCATGCCTGGCCACATTTTAAAAATAAACTGGGGTCGCCCTACATTGCAAAGGGCTTTATCAGTTTGCCAGGGCAGGGCAGGAAGCACTGGCGAGTTCCTTTCCTTAGGGCTGTGCTCTTGCAGGCCATGTGTACCTTCCAAGCTTAAAAATAACATGGCCAAGGGCCAGGTGCCTCCTCTTGCAGTCTTGATGACGATGATGTTGCTGCCCTGCCATGCCAGACCTCAGTCCTTGCAGATGAGATGTTTTACTGTTACTGGATTAATTCTTAGATATATAAGGCTGAAAGAAGTCAGCCTTCTTTAGGGTCTCCTGGTACCCTTCAAGACTCAGCCATGCCCAGCTGCCCAGGGGCACACTGCTTACATAGTTTACCTGTCCCAAAGCTCTGCTAGCAAAAAGGATTAGGCCAGACATCCCTGAGTTCATCACTGGCTAGCTCAGCTGAATTAGTTCTGAGTCACACTGACAGTCTAGGCCACCCCACCTGATTTTGCAGGAGCAGGTTAGGAAGCATGCACACCACCTTTTCCCCCAACAAACTCTACAGACATAAACCTCTAGAAGAGAGTGATGATGAAAACTGGAAGTGACAACATGTTCAGATCACACAAATTTGTAAGAGACATGTCTGTTTTCAGCCTGAACAGAGGAAGTTTTTCCTGCTCAAAACTGCCCTTTTGCTACTGCAGCTATTCACATGAGAAAATGAAGCCAAACATTACCCTAGTTAAGGCTCAAAGGTTAATTATGCTTAGTGACCAAGATCAGTGGAGCCTGGCCTTGACAGCAGCAAGGGTAGTATGGGCAGAGCATTCCCACATCTCATCAGAGACAGCCTTCCTGGCTAATGTGGAAAGATTAAATAATACAGGTGAAACCAGTAGCACTGCATGCTAGAGCAGTTCAGCCTTCCCCATAACAAAAGCTGCTCTTTTCCCTTGCTTTTAACTTCAGCCCAATCAGTTTAAGTCTGATAAAAATATTTATGCCTGCTCTGGCTGAGACAACTTTTGTGTGGGGAAGAGGGAGAGAGTCCAAATGCTTCCAAGCTGGAGCCTGTGAAAGAGAAACGTAATTGTTTCATCTATTTTATCCCTTTTAGCAACATTTCAAGCATGAGAAAAAAAGAAAGAAGTACTCATGAGTTTTTAAACAGCAAGTTCCCAAAGGGAATTTCTGTTTCTGTCAGTTTTTATCCCATTCAAAGCACAGACAATGTCCAGGCTTGGTAACAGGCTTACATCTAACTACCTTCTGCTGATCCTCTGGCAGTCCCAGGGCTCCAAAGACCCCCCTGAAGGGGTGCATTGTCCTCACCACATCACAGGCAGGCCACATCCATGAGCAGCTGAGTCTGCCTGCCCCTCAGGCTGGGGTGTTCCTGGGGTGAGAGAGCACAGACCCCACCTCTTGTGCTCCCACAGGCACAAAGCAGGGAAAGGAGCAGTGAGGCCAAGGAAAGCAACTCAGGCGAGGGAGGAGGGCCAGAAGCAATCAAGTACATGGAGCCCCAGCTTCTCCATGCAAAGCTCCATGTCTCTCACTGCCCAACACATGATGCTGCTTGTTCAAACCCGTCTCTGGCACCAGAATTAGCTTCCTTCTGGGCTTTTCTGTGGCACTCACTGCTTCAGTGACTGTGTGCTTGACCGATTTTAAGGTTAATGGCAGCTCTGAAACAACCCTGGGAAGTGAGGGGGCAGGTATCATCCCACTTTCCAGCTGGGGAGTGAGGTCTCAGAGAGATAAAAGCAGCTGATCACTCTGCTGCACAATTAGAAACAATGATCAGCGGCATCCTGCAGCCCTTGGTATATTCAAAAGCTACACCAAGAGCACCTGCAGCTCTCCACCCTTGGCTCCCAGGCAAGTTAGGCCTTATCCTTTCAAGCCTGACGTGGCCTTCCTGGTTGAAGAATCCTGATCAGCTCCACAGCAGGTCCTGGATGATGTAGGGAGTCCCAAGAAGGGCAGAGGAAAGATGACACTGCTACCATGAAGTTCAGGTTAGTGACATGAAGCCACGTGCAGGAGGCCAGCTCTCGCACTAAGCTGGTAAGAAAGCTCTTTGCTGCACAGTTGAGTAATGTTTGGCTCACCCGCCTGCCTGGAGCACAGTGACAGGCAGCGTGTGGCAAGGAAAGGGAAGCAGCGCATGAAGCTCACAGGCGTGTAAATCCTTTGCACTGTCAGGCAGTGGCTTGCCTAAGGTAAAGTAGTGGCTGGAGAGCACCCTCTGCTTGAGGACATTGAGAGCTGGCTGAAATCCTCCTGCATATGCATCATAAAAAACAAGGGGTTAGTACGAGGCTTGCCCCAAAACGGCTGCTGGAAAAAGACTACTCTCCTTTGCCACATTTGAGCAGTGTCAGCCACATCAAAGGCTGGAAAGGAAATGGGCTGGAGCTCTGAAAATGGTCCCTCAGGTGAGGCCTGACTCACTAGCCATGCTCAGCCCCTCAAAACTGGAGCAAAGGCAGAATTGCAACTCCTCACCAGCACAAATGCAGCCAAAGTACTGGTGCTGAGCTCTGCAAATCAGCACTTGCTGTGCTAGTATCTCTGCAGTAACTCTCTGAATTACCTGTACTACTGCCTTTAAGACCTCCTCCTCACCTCAGAGCATCACAGAGCCCATCTGGTGTTCATGTGGGCTGACCTGGGACAGCCACTGTGCATTGTGGCATTGTGTGCCCTCCCCATTCCACCAGCCACCCTGCTTTAGAGGATTTCACTACATTTCCCTGCATGGGCTCCAAAGTTTGTAGTAGAGCTGACGATGCTCAAAGCTGTAACAACGTCCCATCGCTTCTGGATAAAATGTGCTCAACTTCTGATGTTCCCAAGCCTTCCTCACACCCTTTTCCACAGCAGTTTCAGACCCTTTTGTCTCCTGCTTAGTCTGGCAAAGGAAAATAAATAGATTTAAATGGCAGCTTG